AGAGTAAAGAGTAAAGAGTAAAGAGTAAAGAGTAAAGAGTAAAGAGTAAAGAGTAAAGAGTAAAGAGTAAAGAGTAAAGAGTAATAGCCCTGCACTAAGTTTAGCCACTCACCGGAGTTGCAGCGCCTAAGGTTTAGGTTTTCCTTATGAAATTCGTCTTCAAAGAACCCCAAAATTCAACATCGTTTTCGCCAATTTGAACAGTACTCGGCAGCCAGGTCGCTTTTTTGTGGAGTCATTCCGTCCAAGAGATTTTGTCCAAATGGCTTTCGACAAGCCTTTTACCACCATTCCAGGTTATGGCTGCTCTTGGCATGAGCCTTATTATTTTGAGCCAAACATGTTCCAAACTCCGAAATGGTAGCATCGAAAATAGTGAAGTGGATAATCGCTTGTAAAAAATACATTTTCCTTACCTTGTGAAGGACGCAAAGCCAGTTGCAGGTTTTTCTTCTTCCCGCCAATTTCGAGTCGGAGGAAATGACGTCACATAAACACGGCCTGGCTGCCAAGTACAGTTTCAAAATGGCGATCTTTGAAGTCGCTTCTTTCAAGACATAGCCATAGCATAACAATTTTTTCTTGGACAATTCTTTCTAAGTGAAAGGTGCAATGAGCCTAGCCCAGTTTTAAGCACCAACTCGTGAGGTAACGCGAGACCACAACACCGGAAACTACTTGCCCTTACCTACTCTTTTCCATAAGTGGGTGGGTTCTTTAACGAGGGACGTGAAGGGGTAAAATAGGAACTGGGGTTTGCCCTTTTTAGGGTTGGGAAGATGGGATTTACTGCATTGGGACTGGGATTCAACCATTGGGAACGGGATAAACAATTGGGAAAATGGGAAAGGGATTTTTATTTTTAGCGCTCTCTGACCTTATTTTTTGACATCACTACTTAATTGAGCCTATTCTTTTGAATAAAGAATTAAAATTTAGCATCATTAGACCTCAGTAGACACATAGAATCATTATATTTTTTTATTTCCGCGTTCTAGCTATCAGGCTCCACACAGTTTTCCTGGTCAGCGGTTTGTTGTTGATGAAATGATATTTGCATGTTTGCATGTGGCGGGAACGTGAAGAGTACAGCAGCAGCGAAAGTGGAGACAGTGAGTCTGACGAGGATTGTGCAGATGATACAAGTGATTTCAATATGGTTATGTCAATAAGGGCTGAAAGACAAAGACTGCTCATCAGAAGAATGAGACATTTCCTTCAGTCACAACAAAAGTCTGGGTAATTGCTTATTTGCCAGAAACATTCATCCGATTTGTAGAAAAAGGGTCTTTATTCGATTTCAGCGGTTTTAATTAATTATACACATTAGTCTGCAAACAATCACTGGGAATGGGATTTTAGATTCGGAAACTGGGATTTGGACCAAATTTAAGCTGGGAACTGGGATTTGGCAAAAAATTTGGGCTGGGAACTGGAATTTGGTACCCCCCCTTCATGACCCTCTTTAACGTCCCCTGCTAAGTGCTGACAATGTAAAACTGAAGAGACAGGGCCTACGATTTACAGTCCTTATCCGAGAAGACTTGAATGTGTAACCATTTGCAGATATAATTACAAAGACAAATTTAAGCAGGCACTACAGAGGCTGAAACTTCGGTGAGTGGAAAAGCAGAATGTTAACTTGCTATATATAGGCGAAGACAAAACAAGTAAGCTTTTTAGAGTGACCTTCTCCTCACGATGTAACCATAGGGTCTGACTCGTCCCAGTCCAAAACGAGTGAGCCGTACCTTCCCTCACAAAGACAATCTTGAGCCCGCGATGGTAAATAGTTTCCTCAGCGAATTCCCAACTGACACGAAGCAAGATGGCGGTTGAGGTTGCTCCTCTTCGCTCGCTTCAAGACTTTATTACTGATGCTCAGTTCACTGCTCCAACTTTACATGACAGGGATAGAATGGAGAACAGAATGATTAACAACCTCATTTATTATCAGACCAACTACTTTCTTAGTGCAATCGTTATTTTCATTCTAGTTGGGTAAGTTTGTAAACGTTAGCTCTGCCCGTATGTGTAAATCCCGGGCGTAAACTTGTGAAAGCTTTGACTTCATTATGTACAGAGCATGACCGCGAAGTTAAAAGGCCCTGAAATCTGTTTAAGTGCTGAAATTTTGCGTAAAATCGTAAGAATGAGACTGATTGTTCAAGAAAGGTTTCAGAAGAAAAATGTGTAGCAAGTGATTCTGAAATGAATCTTGTACACACTGGAAAACTTTGAAAACCGTTAACCCATTTTGTGAGAGCAAAATGTAGTTCTTAGTAACCGAGTGGGAGGTGTCCACCATCTGTATGGGAAAATCTTGACCATGGTCGATTCCAATCATAGTGCCGTCATGAATTTGGTAGTTTCCAGTCCTTACGAGACAAAGCTATGTATTGTCAGTAATAAAACACAAATCATGCAACACTTTTGTGGAAGAATCTGGACTGGTACATAGAGGATAACACACGGGTACGTGTAGATATGGAATATCTCTTCAAGTGTTCAAGAGAGGAGAAATTCCATATCTACAAGCGACCATGTATTATTTTGTTTATTTTATCAACATACTGATAATGTTGATGATTTTCTGAAGATTTCACCCCACCACTTTCAGAAGATTTCCGAAGATTCTCCAAAAATTGTCCAAAGGTTACACGAAAGTTTCCCAGCATTTCCAAAAATTTCTGAAGATTGCCAAGGACTTTTGAGGAAGATTAAAAAATGTTTTGATCATACACCAACAAATATAAGTACAGTTTAAGGGTCAAACATGATATCAGTGAAGCCATCAATATCTTCACTAGTGAGGATGTGGAAAATATGCCACCAGAGTCCCGGATGTGGTTTCGCATGAATTTTACGAGTAGTCCATTTCGAGTAAAACACTCGTGTCAATATATAATAAAAATTATTATAATATCAAACTTACAAAACTATACTTTCAAATGTTTAAAAATTCGATTTATAGCAGCGTTGTATTGTTGCAAAACATGTTGAATCGGACAAAGTAAATTTAGATGAAATAATAAAAACCACTTTTTTGGCCCCAGTTTTGCTTATTTCTTTTGTTCTATGTGTAGATTTTTCACACTGGTACTTAGCAAGTCTGTCTTTTGTCTTCATATGCATTTTAATGGTGGCTCAATGTTTCTCACCAGGACACTGTATCCAAAGGATTTAATCATTGGTGCTGTCACGCTGGTCTGTACCTTTGTCTTGTTTGGCATTGCGCAAAGTCGGGAGCAGAGGATTGCAAAGCTGAAGTCACAGTACCCCTCCCTGGTACCTATCGCTGTCATTGCAGTAGCAGTGCTCGTTATCTATGCATTAGGGTCCATTCTTGTATTCATCTGGGGGGTCACTGTACCGCTTGCAGGTATTTATCATTACAACATTATTGGATATAGTGATAAGTAATCACAGTAGGGTTGATTTCCACTGTTTTTTTGGTCTGTACGCATTCCTCCCTCAGCGTGGGCTCATTTCCTGAAACAGTACTAGTGGCTGGTAATTGAACCTACAATCAAAGGGGCCACACAATAAATTTATTCAGGGCTACTCCAGCCATCCTGTCTTATTCTCAGTTTATTATTAGAATTTATTACTTTTTCTACAAGCCAAGTGGTCCATCAGTCTGGCATTTTCCTTCAGTTTCTCTAGCATAAGAGATTAATACTATTTCTACTCTCCCCAGGATGGGAAGCTGGTCCATCCAGGGTTTTCCTCCACCATTAAATTTGCCAGCACCCATTTATACACCTGGCTAGAGAGAGGCACTGTGAGAGTGTCTTTCACCTAAGTAAACAACTCAGTGTCCCTGGCAGGGTTCAAACCCAGACCACTCCATCCAGAGTTGAATGCACTTGCCACAAGGTCACTGTGCCTCCGTTTTCTACATTAGAAACTATTAATAATAAAACTTATTTATTCATTGATATATTTACTTATTTATTAGATTTCTTCGTGGAATTCAAGTGGCAAGCCAATTTAGTGATTTCTTTTTTGCTGATTTTGATTTTGTTGATCTCAAAACTTCTACATCAGCTTCCCATACTTGCTACGACAGTTAATGTACCTTCATTAACTTCAAATTGATAGACAGCTTAGTGGTTTGATAAGTTAATAATGGTGAATTTTAAGCTCGGTAATGAAAATGTGAAGGTGAACTAATCAACATGACACGAGCATGAGACAAAGAAAAATTCTGAGTCCCCGACAGGAATCGAACCCATGACCTCCCGAACACCGGGCGGGCGCTCTATCC